TCTTGGCATGGCTACCCTTTGTGAACAGTCTGGAGGAGATTTTTTGGCATGCTTATGGTTCTTATCTTTGCTGTAAACACAAGCTGTGAAAGCTGTATGGGATGGCAGGCTAAAAATAACTTCTACTCTTGGTAATCTCTTAAGGAAAGATAAGTCTTCTGCCTGGGTGCTGTGGATGGATTCTCTGCGGTTCCCTACAATCAGGATCACAAATGGCAGTGAGCTGTGCCATCTGCTTTGGGGACAAACTTGCTGTTGCTCTGTCAGTTGCTATCTCAGAGAGAGCAGCTAGGGGCGATATCCATGTCTTGAACTTTGAGATCCAGCGGATGCTGACTAGTACTGTAGACTTGCTCAGTTGTTCCTTTGATTCCAGCATGTTGGAGAAGGAAGACATGCATATCCTGAGGGGGCATTGCGTAAGAGGAATGATGTCATGAGTTTGACACTGCTAGGATAACTTTGCATTTACTGTCAGAGGAGTTACTCACTTGGCCCTCTTCTTCCTTACAGCAGCAAGGGCGCAATGATGGATAACCGTTTTGCTACAGCGCTAGTAATTGCTTGTGTTCTCAGCCTCATTTCCACCATCTATATGGCAGCTTCCATTGGCACCGACTTTTGGTACGAATACCACACCCTGTCCCCAGCTGAGAATGTTAGTGAAGCTGGTAGGAGCATCTGGGAGGAATTTGTCAGCGAAGAGGCAGATGAGAAGACCTACACAGATGCGCTCTTCAGGTGCAACGGCACGGTTGGATTGTGGCGGAGGTGTATCACTGTACCCAAAAACTCTCACTGGTACAGTCCACCAGGTATCTCCAGACCAATTAACGCTTCTCTAGCTTGCCTGGGTGGTATGTGCTAACTTCCTCACAACATAGTCATGCCACTTTTTTCCTCCAGAAGGCTTATTTCTGGCTTATGTGTTGTTGTTGGGGTTTTTTGGGGTTTTTTTTTGTTTGTTTGTTTTTAAGGAAGTCTAAATTTTGAAAGAAACAAAAGACAAAATGGTCTGTGGCTGTCAGTGCTAAAGACTCTGGATTTGACACACTTGATCTAAATTTATTCTGGCATAACTTGATTTTCTTTTGCATCTGCTGTCCAACTGGGGATACAGTTATAGTTGCTCTGCCCGTTACTGTCTTTTTAGGGGTGTCCTGGGGTCCGCAGTGGAATAAAGATACTACTTTATCAAGGGGGCAATCATTCCTTTTAGCTAGTCATTCATTTTGCTTGCATGTCACAAATGTCCCGCTGCTGCATCAGCACATTTTGGACTCCTTGTACTGTAGTGCTGGATATAGAATGAAATACTTGTATTCTTTTTCACAGTGGTCGGGGGCTAAAAAAAGTGTGGTGAGCAATTATTTTAATTGTTTCAAAGCAGATTTTGGATACATATTGTGTGTGTGAAGCCCTTCATTTTGAACCCTCTTAAAAAAAAGTACTTTCAAACACTTTTTCTGAAGAAAAAAACAGTACATGAAACACTTTTTTTTTTTTTTACCCACCCTAATGAAAATACTTATTTTGGAAGACACTTAAACCAGCTCTGCTCAATAGTATTCTCAAAGCAAAATCTGAGCCGTAAAAGGGGAGAAATTTAGTGTAAAGAAGCAAATATTTTCTGTTCTTTAAATAGTCCTTTCTATCCCATTTTTGAATGAAGTGTTTAGTGTGATACTACATTCAGCACATGGAGGTAAGCACAGCTTAGTTAAGGGACTCTGAGTACAAGAATATATAACAACATAGTTGACCATCATATGCCACGTTGTTTCCTGATCTGTCAAGCATGGCACAGTTCTGTGTGGGTATCACAGGTAGGCTTGAAGATTCTGCATGTTCGAATGCTGTCCATCGTTGTAGTTACTATGTTATGCTAACTACATTATGATAAGGCATCCTACTAGATCCTCAAATCTGGTTTGAGAGGTAATTTTTTCTCTAAAATGGAACTCTGAGGAGCTTCCCAGCTTAAATGGTTGGGAAAGGAGGAATTGAAGGGGAGGGGGTGTGGGAGGGAGACACCTAATGGTATTTTTTTCTTTTTTTTTTGTTTTCCCCCAGAACCCGATATGACTACAAACTGCATCAGTTTTTCCCTCTCTGATCAGTTTATGGAAAAGTACATAGAGCCTGGAAATCACAATAGTGGCACGGATTTGAATCGGACTTGTAAGTGTCTTTCAGTTCTGGTAGGTAAACAAGTAGGATTTAAAAAAAATACATTTCTCAAATACAGTCACTAGTGAGGAAAGCATCTGTATCTTGCTCTGCATTTATTGATGTTTTTTATAGTAGCACAGGCAGTAGGTCAAAGTTTAAAAGGAAAACTTCAATGTGTTAGCAAAGGTTTTGCCCATGAATGCAGGGGAGGAATTTGGGAGTTAACAAATGAAGGTCTTCCTACTTCAGTGGAGCCTTTGGCCCTTTTTAGCTATGAATGTAGAACGTCTGATGAAGCGGAAGCAGCGTGGGTAGAAGGGAGTGTAAGATGGTGGGAGAAGATCAATTTCTAGCATATGTTCAACAAGCTTGTCTTGTGTATTTCTTTTGTGTGCAGATCTCTGGCGATTGCAGTTTCTTCTGCCCTTTGTCAGCCTGGGCCTCATGTGCTTTGGGGCTCTGATCGGGCTCTGTGCTTGTGCCTGTCGCAGCCTTTACCCAGCCATTGCCACTGGAGTCCTCCATTTCCTAGCAGGTAGGTCTCCTGCCATCCACCACTTACCCTCCCTCCTCCAGAAGCTGGTAGTGACAGCCAGAGCACTTCAACAGCGAGCTCAGTTGTGCTTTACTGCTCCCTTCCCCAGGGCTTTGTACGCTCGGCCTGGTTGGCTGCTACGTAGCTGGGATTGAGCTGCTCCATAAGAAGCTGCCCCTGCCTGACGACGTGAGGGGCGATTTCGGCTGGTCCTTCTGCCTAGCCTGTGTCTCGGCGCCTTTGCAGTTTATGGCAGCTGCTCTTTTCATCTGGGCGGCTCGCACCAACAGAAAGGAATTCACTCTCTTGAAAGCGTACCGTGTAGCCTAAGTGCTGCTACTGAAGTACTGGGTTTCCGTGTTACAGCCTCTCCTCCTCCCAACCCTTACTACCTTTTTCTTTTAGTCAGAATTTTACCTTATACTGCATGCTTCATGCCAGTTGAGACAATTTAGCCTGCAGGCCCTGAAGACAAAAGACCTGTGGGCTAAATGACCAAACTCTGCCAGAAGTCTGCAGAACTTGAACAGGTTTTTAAATTTTTTTTTAAAGAATTTAATATTACTGGGTTTTAAGCTTCATTTGGTTGTTGAATATCCCCTTGGTTAGGTGTACATGCCCCTTTGTAATTTTATTACCCTGTCAGCCTGGAGGAAATAGGAATGGTGGTGTGGGATGGAAGAAAGATAGGAAAAGAAAAGATGCAGGTAGGCAAGAATGGGAACCTCAGTGCACAAATAATAAATAATTGGGAGCTGTCTGCTGCGTGACCCAAGCAGACAGTACCTACAGAGAGCATGCAAGAGACATGGGGCAACTCAGAAACCTCGGTTACAGAAATACTGTAGCTAAATCAGTCCCATAGCTTCGCTTTGGGTCTCTTATTCTTACTAGTTTGCAACTTTTTGTGGCTTCTGCCAGCACTGATACAGACAGAGCAGCTGGCTGTGGGAGTACCTGTACAGCACACCAGCCTGAACACAGACTCTGCGCTCGCCTTTGCTGAGGAGTGGGATAAGTTGGCCCACGTGGAGCTTTGCGCTGCTCTAGCTACGCTGCTTCCAGAACCCAGGCTAGGTTTGGTATCTGCACTATGTCTGATTGTGCACTCTAATCTTAAATTGTGGTGCTTTTTGCTTGCTGTGAAATAAGGCTTTCCTCTCTCTTGCATTGAAAACAACCCTTCGCAAGTTTTTTGGTTTTAATTTGGTTTAGCGTTATGTGTGTATATGTACATATATGTACTTAACTTTTTTTAAAGCTCACCTATTTATCCTATATAGCACACAACAGGGTTTTTTTGAAAGGTGCTGCTCTTTTCCCATCTTGCCCCAAACCTATTGTTTAAATGAAATAATAATAATAATAAAAAAAACTCAGAAATTTTCAGCGTTGCATGAATCTGATGGGAGGGTGAGAGAATGGTCTGAAGTGAATTTTACTTGGGGAAAGAAAAGCCAATGTCTAGATTGTTCTCTGTTTTCAGGGAAATGTCACCAGAAACAAAGATGTTTGGTTAGATTTTTTTTTTTTAATTAACTTCTTGGGCTCCTGCTAACTTTAAATTTTCCCCTCATCATTGAGGGGGTGCAACACCCCATAATTTCTAATTAGTTCACAACTTCCACACATATTTATTCTAAATCACTGCAACTCTGCCCAGACTGGGTGGCATGTCTTATCTCAAAAAAAAATGTTCCAAGACTAAATTGTTTAATTCTGAGGCCTTAACTGTCCTCATTTCCTTACTCCATGCTTAATTGTATTGGGTTTGTGTGGCAAGGTTTTGGTAGCAGGGGGGCTACAGGGGTGGCTTCTGTGAGAAGCTGCTAGAAGCTTCCCCCACGTCCAACAGAGCCAGTGCTAGCTGGCTCCAAGACGGACCCACTGCTGGCCAAAGCTGAGCCCATCAGCCATGGCGGTAGCGCCTCTGGGATGAGG